GGCCCCCGCCAGGACCGCGGCCTTCGGGGCAGCGCGCCGCGGGTGGCGAGAAGCACCTGCCCGACCTGCGGCCGCGCTCCCGCCCGCTGGGTTCGGTCGGGGCAGGGCCAGGCTGGGCCCGGAGCCGCCCCACGGTCACCGCCGGCCCCGACCGCGCCGCCACCGCCGCTCACCTCGCGGAGCCGCTGCGCCTGCGCGGGGCGCGCCCGCCCGGCCGCGGTGCGTGCCTCGGCTGTCCCCGGCGCTCCGCGGCTGCACCGCCGGCGTTCCGGGCTGTCTGCGTCCCCACGGCGGGAGCTGCGGTGGGCGGCGATCCGAACTCTCCCGTATTCCATTCCTGGGGAGCCCCCGGGCACTGAGGGGGCTGCCGGTGGGTTCTGCCGCCGCCCCTGGTGCGGGGCAGGGTCTGGCCCCGCCGCCGCGCTGGGCCGGGGCGTGCGGCAATCGCCTGGGCCCGAGGGTTTGTCAGCCCGGCCTGGTGATCAGTGATGTCTCTCTCCGTTTCCCTCTCTCCCTCTCTTCTCTCCCCTATTAAAGATTTTAATAGAACAGAGAAGTTTCGCTTCTTTTTGGCCCGCAGGTTGCTGTTGTTTGATGTGCTTTGTTCTGTTGTTTTTTAACCCTGTCAGGTAGGGATTTTAGTGGAGACCGTGGTCTGTCGCGATGAGTTTTCTGCTGCCCAAACTGACCTGTAAGAAGGAAGTGGATCAGGCAATAAAAAGCGTCGCTGAGAAGGTTTTGGTTCTCCGTTTTGGAAGAGATAATGATGCTGTTTGTCTGCAGCTCGATGATATTGTAAGACAATTTTTTTCTTCTTTTTTTTTTTCTTTTTTTTTTACGGATTGTACAAGTATAGTTGGTGCAAAGAAGAAAATGTTGCTTTTGCTAAGATAGGGACTTATGAAGAGTTTGGTGACAAATATAGAATGAAATTTTATTTATAAAAAAGTTTGAAAAGTAAGCATCTGTGTTTTTACTACTGTAGTGGCTGAACAAAGTGCTTGAGGTAGACAACATGTAATATTCTATACCTGCTTAAGCTAGTAACACATAAGAGAAACAGGCTTTATAAAGCTTACCACCCTCTTTTCCTCATGTCTCACTGTAATTGTCATCTGCCTTTCTCACTCTTTCCAGCTTGCAAAAACAGCTCATGACCTGAGTAAAATGGCAGTCATTTACCTGGTGGACGTGAACAATGTCCCAGTGTACACCCAGTATTTTGACATCAGTTATATTCCATCTACTGTATTTTTCTTCAATGGACAGCACATGAAGGTTGATTATGGGTAAGTCATCCTACCATTGTATATTAAGCCTGTAAGAATTATCAGTCTATGTTACCATGTCTGGAGAAGATGACATTTGAAAATTATAATGTTACCAGCATCTGCATTGAGAATTCTGTAGGAAGCCAGAAGGATGTAAAATAGGGAAGTAATTTGAAATATGCTCTGATGCAATAAGTAGGTGAAATATGTCTGACTCTGCAAAAAATAGTAAGAAATGATTAAAAACTTAGAAATGACAGTGCACCTGTTTGACCTTTGGAGGTCACAGCATATTCCTGACTCGTTACAAAGTTAGTTCATTCTTTCAGAATGACTAGATCAGAGCTCCTTATCTCATTTGGGCAACTTTTCACATTTTTAGGTGTTTTTTCTCTGAATATTTTAATGTTATATTCTACCTTCTAAATTCTGCCTTTGTCTTGTGCTTATATTTAGGTCTCCAGATCACACCAAATTTGTAGGAAGCTTCAAAACAAAGCAAGACTTTATAGATCTGATTGAAGTGATCTACCGTGGAGCAATGCGGGGAAAGCTCATTGTGAGAAGTCCTATTGACCCCAACAACATTCCTAAATATGACCTTCTCTACCAAGGAATTTAATGGGTTGACCTAAGAATTGCACAAATGGATGATGTTGTATATCCCTTTTTCCTTTGAGTGCTTTTGGCCTCCTCTGGCATTGTGGGACAGTTTGAGCAGTTATCCTGAAGGATCATATTGGTCTCCTTCTGAAGACAGATATTCTGTCACCTCACACTTCTCTCGTAAATAAAGCTACATGTTCATGCACAGAGTTCACACAAGTGACTGTTCTTTGAGTTGTGTGCTGACCAGCCCTTACAAAACAGGCAGGCTTTGTGCATCCTCAGCTATTCCATCTCCAGTGCTACCTTCTTCAGGGAACTGAGGCGCTCTGTTAGTTGGCTGTTTAGTAACATTTTCATTCAGATGAAGTAACAGTAAACCTGACATTAATAAAAAAAATTGTGCTTGCTCTCAAGAGCAGTCAACTGAATGTGCCTTTCCCATAGAATTTTACATTTTACCCATTGCTGCAAAACAGGACAGAAGTTTCTTCTGAGAGAGATGATGACTGAAATCTGAAATGGATATAAATATAAAGGGAAGTTGCTACTCTCTTCTCTCTCTTTTTGACTGAGATTGGAATGTTCTACACTTGTAGGAGAAGGTTTTGTCATCCGTAAAAAGATTTTTGTGTCTATTGAACACTTAGGATTCCCCCGGGCTTGAACTGAAAATTAAGAATAACTCTTTTGTAAACAAAAACTTCTGCTTGTACACATTGCAAGCCTTGGGTATGTAAATTTAAAAACTTTGTTTCCCATCTCTGTCTAAAGTTAAACAGCTGAGAGGAAACAGCAATGTCATTACTTTGCATCAGTTTGGTAACTGCAGGTTGCTGGACTATTGTATCTATAGCAACTCATGTCCGGAATTCTCACTGTCTTAGTTGGCTTTAAAATGGAAATTATTTTACCTCCATGTGTCATGTTTGGGGCACACCAAATCTGACTGCAGGGAAGGAAGTAGTGTGTACTTCCCTGGAGCATTATTCAGCTTAACAGCAAATGTTTCAAGGAGGAAGGTGGATGTTCCAGCTCTTGAAAGATTTTAAACAACACATGGTACAGAGAAAAGAGAATACAGATTTTTTTACATGCTCTTCCTGTTCCAAACTTGGCCTTCTAATAAAGCTAAGTACTTAAGCAAATGTTTTCCTGATAGTTTAGTCTCATTATACAGCCGTAACTATAGAATGTTTATTATAGAAAATGATAAATGAGAGTTTGTGCACTTTAACATCTTTAAATCAACTTTAAATTTCATAACTAGCCAAAGGCTTTTGGCTTAAGGCTTTCAACAATGCATTTCTTTCCTAATAGTTAACTTTTGTCTTTTTCTTTTTCAAAACCAAAGCTTTTCTTTCAAAACCAAACTAGTTTCAAACACAGAACTGTGAATTTCTCCACAGTGAGATGAAGGTGCTTAGGTGACAGAAGGCTGCAGAGGCAGTTACAAAAGAAAGAGACCAGTATCAAAAACAAACAAGTGTACCTTTATTTATTGCCTCTCTTCTTATGTGTGCTGCTTCTGGTTGCAACAGGTGAATTCCTCAAGGCTGTTGTGATCTTGGCTTTCAGCTTGTTCTTCAGGTACTTAAAGATGGGTTGTAAGCAGCAGGAGGGTGCTAAACCATACTTTTCTGTTCCAGCAGACAAAGTAGGACAACTTACTCTCATGAGAAAGCCCACAGTTTTATTTAGGGGTTTACTGTTCGACACCCATTCATGGCAGTTTCTGCGTATCCATTCCTGTATTTCTGGATCGTGTCTGCTCTGGTGCTGCATGTTGTGCGTGGAGTCGATGAATGCCACTGAGTACACTTTATTTATCACCTCATGTTTCCTCTGCACCAGCAGATCAACAAACACCAACCCCCCATAGCCATGGGCAATGAAGGCCACATTCCTGGCTGCACTCTTTGCAATGAAATGATCCCATACATACATGGTATGCTCCTCAGGGCTGCTGCTGCCCCTCTTGGGGATCCACCAGATGGACTGTGTAAAATTAAGTGCTTCTTCCTTGGCAGAAAATCTCTCGTTTTCAGTGTTCAGATCAGTGAAGTTGTCATTGGGGTTCAGTACAATCACTTCCCATTTGCTTTGCAGAGCCATTTTGATGAATGGTATTTGTGTTCCATGTCTCAGGCCCTCACTGACAATTGCCCTTCGCCCCCACTGTCCAGCACAAAAAACTCCACGGTCCTGAAGAAGGATAATTAGGCTAGAGGAACTTGTTAGTGCATTTTTGCTCATGAAAAAGAAACTTCTTGGTTCATCCTGTGTAGCATCAGTAGGAATATAAACCTTCTGCAGCATGCAGACTCTTTCCAGGAGCTCATAAACATACTGGGTAATAAAATGTCCCAGAACTTCATAGCGTTTATGATTCTGCTCATGTCCATTCTTGTAGTAATTGAAAACAAAGGACTCATTTGTATCCAGATGCCTCAGCTCCCCTTTTATATTGAAGTCATATTTTAGTTCCTCTTGATACTGTGAACCCTCTGTTAGTTTCCTCAAACTGAGTTCACGCTGTATTTGTAACCACTACAAATTAAGAAGACTATCATGGCAAAGTAGTGATAGACCTCCACACGACACCTGTCTACGCATCCCCCCACCCCTTGCATTAGAATTCAGATTTAAAAGCTGTTATAAATTAAATACTTGCTGATCCAGAGTATTTTGTGGTGATGTATAATAAACCAGCTGCCTCTAAATTCTCTTGGAGATGTCAGTTGCCAAGTTCCAACAGCAGTAATTCCTCTGCATTTATTAGGCCTTATTTTGTTTGGTAGTTAAAAATTTGTAAGCTAGCATGTTTATTTAAAGACCTGTTTACAGTAGTTTGAATTAAAGGCTTTAAGAAGGTGGCACATGTATGTGGTTCATTGTTCACTTGGACAACTTTTATTGCATTGTGTCCTAGCTGTTATCTTGGAACTCCACAAGTTCCAAGGCTGCCTTTGAAAAACAGGCCTTGGCAATTGGAAACAGTCCAAAAGTCATACTGGATCCTGAGTTTTTAAAGAAAAGAAGCTGCACTTACTAAGGGCTTCAACCTTCCTGTTGCTTGTATACCAGCATACTCTCCACGTTCTACCTTCAACTATGCTAGAACAGATAAATACATAAATGTGTTTGCTTTCTGCTAATCACTCTAGTTGGTCATTCATCCTTGCAAGCACTTGCCACATGGAAATATAGGAATGGATGACAGAATAAACTAGCCACTGTGGTCCAGGAGCCGGAGAAAAGGTCCAGGTAGGAAACTATCATGATGTTGGACTGAGGTCTCCAATTTCAGGTGACCTGTCATGACTGATATGAATTATAGCAGGAAGTGATTTTTGTGCAGCTGAGAAATTAAGCTTATCAGAACCTTCTATTTTCCTAGTAACTCTTCAATCTACTACTGACTGTCACTGGTTGTAGAATGGCAAATAGGGTATAACCTTTGGTGTGGTCAGAATCCTACCTTTACAGAAGTTTACTACTAATACGGTTTGGGTTTTTTTTGTAAATGATCTGAATCAAGTTATATTTGGTAAGTTAGACTATGTAAGTTTTTCTTCATGAACTAAAAGAAGCTTTATAGAACACAGTAAATTACATTCTATATTAACAGTCACTGTACCATCTGATAAAGCAAATTACTAGGACAAAAAGTGATCTGAATATTTTCATGTAAATGAAAGGCTGCTGAAGATTTCTGGAGGCAGAAACAAAGAAACAAACACAGTTTTACATAAGGTGCACATACGACTTTCCTTTGCCTTCAAGATGCAAAATGAAAAGTTTTGAGGCAATTAATAATGGGCTATCACTTAAGAGTTTACTTAAATAGCAGCTTAAAAGTATATGCTTATTATTCCAGAGGACTGATTTTATGGTAGTAACACAATTAATTATAGAATTAAAAAGTAGCAATTACAGATTGTTCTAGATACAGCTGTATAATGCATGTACTTCTTTGTTGTAAGTCTGCATTCTAAATCAGCATTGATAGCTGTTTGTACTTCATTGTCTATATATAAATGCAATATTCAAGGTTGTAAAGGCTGCCAGCATATACAATTGCTACCTTAATTTTAAAAATTTGCTTTTGGGGGAAAATTAATCCCTCTTTCCCTCCCTCCCACTTTTCTATTTAGATTCTGAAATGCTTCAGATGTAAATTCAGCTGGTGCTTGTTGCAGCATTTAGCATATTCTAAACACTGCTGCAGTATAAGTACTATAAAAGATCCATAAAGATTACTTTGTTTTCCATTTAAAACCACCTTATTCTACTAAAGCCTGATATTACCATATGGTCTCCTGTAAAATCTGTCATCATCATAGATGGAAATCTTTTTCACTCTGGGAATGTAGAGTGTAGACAAGTCCTCTGCGTGAAAAAAATAAACCAAGTCATGGTTTCAGCTTTCATTACTTTACGTATCTAGGCGTGTATCTACAAAACCTACCAATACCTGATAGTTTGTGGTCATGTAAAGCGCCCCAAATAGTTTCCAGTTATAAACTGACCTTTTATGTTTGTAATTCACACCCGACAGTAAGTTAAAGCTAAACCTCGAGTATGAAGCTGAACATTTGTCCACACCAGTTTTCAGTCCCAATACCAAGAAGAAAACAAAACAAAAAGCTCCATGGAAAACTTAAAATTCTGAAGCTGTCCTGAAAAAAACACAAAACCACAAAGAAAAATAAAAAAACCCCAGAAATCCAAAACAAAGCACAAAACAAAAACTCCCACCCAGCAAATCTTCGTCTTTCCCTTGGCTGCGGGAGAATTTCTAAGGGCAGCAGCTGCAAACCACGGCCAGCTGGGGTTATGAGAGCGCTCCCCGGCTGTTCGTCCTCCCGTCAGGAGATTAACCTGGCGGGCTCTGCCTGTCAGCTGAGGGAAACAGCATTAGCAAGGTACAACTTAAACCTGAGTCGGGCTCACTATTACTTCTTTAAAAGTAATGCGGTTTTCTCGGTTCTTCAGTGGCTTTTAGCGGGTCAGTGCCGAGCTTATCCCGAGCAGGTTAAAGCTCGGAGGGCCTGAGGGGCCGCGCCCGGCCCAACCCGGCGGGGCGGTGCCCGGCCCGGAAGTACTGGGGGAAGCTGCGCAGGCAGCGGCGGCGCCGGGCTGGGTAAACAGCTCCGGCAGTGGCGGTGAGTGAGTGCTGTGTGCTGCTGCTGGGGCCGCTCGATCCCACCCGCTGCCGGCCTTTCGGCTGGGGAGAGGGGAAGAATGCAGGGCTGCAGCCGGCCGGCAGCACCTCCGGGGCCGGGCGGCCGCGGTGTCTGCCGCGGTGTCTGCCGCGAAGGAGCGAAGCCGGCAGGGCGGTTGGACGGGGGTGCACCGAGGGACGGAGGGAGGGTTGGTGGCGGCGTAGCTGCGCCTCTGGGAGAAGGCTGAGGAGAGAGTGTGAAAAAGTGGAGTCGCTGGCTCAGGCCCTCAGGATTTGCGGGTTTGTCAGAGGGAAGCCGTTCCCCTCCTAGCGGGAGGAGCCGGGGCTGCGGAGCTCGGGGCCCGCGGTGCTCTGCCGGCGAGCAGCCCTGTGCCAGGGCCGGGCTCATGCGGTGACAGCCCGGGCGCGGCCGCTCCTGGCCGGTACCTGTTCCCCCGAGCTGTCAGGCTGCCCCCGTTTGTCGGCTCTTGCTCGTCGTAGGCGTCGGAACTGTCAGCACTTTAGCTCTCCTTTATCTGTTCCCCATGCTGGGGGACTAAGGTTCTGAGTTAAAAAAGACGCTAAGATAAGTAAAAGTCCCCGAACTTGGCCTCTTGATAGACTCCAAGCCAGCTGTAATCTTTGAAGGTCTTGTACCGCAGTCATATAGAGTGTGTATAAACAGAATACCTCTAAATGTTGGAAGCTCTGAGGCTCTGTTCTTCCAGTGATGAAATTTATAGATTTAACAGGAATCCTTGCCTTTTATTTATTCTTGGAGCTGTTTCAGTGGTACAGATGTCCTCTTTTACTCATTTTTACTCTGTAGTCCAAGTGTGAACTGCTTGTTAGTTGTGTGCTTGCAGCAAGGAGTTAATCAGTAAATGTCTTAGCTAAGGATAAATTCTAGGAGAATTTCATTAACAATTCTGCCTATGCTGACAATCCAGAGCCTTGCCTAGGTGCGTGTCTGGCTTGTATTGTGGCTGTCAATTACTTTTTACCAAGGCCTGTAGTGACAGGGTGTTTTAGTTTAGGGCAAATTAGGAAGGAAAACTCCAAATGGGGATTTCCCCAGGGAAATGCCCCTCCCCACTAACTGGTCCCGGAAAAGAAAAAATTCTTTAGAGAGAAGTGGAAAAAGCTGTTGATTTAACAGAAATTGAGTAATATTAAATAATAAAACTTTTTGCTGTTCGATGGGATGGCAAATCTAGAAGGGAGGAAAAAAAAAGTCCTTTTCATGTGGTGTAGCTCGGCTCGCTCAGGTTCTTATCAGTCCCTCCGGCGCTGGAAAGTGCCGAGGCCCAGGCCCCGGTGGGCCACAGGCGTGAGCTCCCGGGGTTTGGCTGGGTGTTCAGTCCAGAGCAGGCTTGCACAGATCCAAGAAAATTGGGAAAAAAACAAACAAAGGTCCAGGGAACTCCTCTGCCTCAGCTAGCTAGAACTAACTAAAAGCCAGAGAGAAGCTCTGTCCCGCTGTCTGTCCGTGCTGCAGACACCACAGTCCAGGAGCGGGATGTGTGGGAGTGATGTTTTTCCTTAACACAAACTGCGCGCTTCTTCTTCCCCCTCTCTTGCTCTCAAAGCCAGTCTTAAAGGTGCAGAACTTAATATATAACATAAACTAGACGATTGGGGATACTAGTATCATAAAGTCACCCCAGGACACAGGGCAAGATAGAATAGTCATAAACTGAAAGATGGTAGGTGTACATTGGACATGAGGAAGAAATATGTTTTACAATGAGGATGGTGAAACTGGAACAGGTTGCCCAGGGACAGAAGCAGTGGGTGCCCCAACACATGGGAGTGTTCAAGGTCAGGCTGAATAGGCCTGATGGATTGAAAGATGGCCCTGCCCGTGGCAGGAGGGCCGGGCTATAAAATAATTTAAAATCCCCATCCAACTCAAGCTACGTTATGAATGTGTTTTCTTTGTTATGGTTTGCTCAAAAATTATTTTCTTGTTCTTTCTTAGTGCCTACTACTGTGATTTTACTTTCCTCTTAATCAGTAAACCAGAAATTGTTAAGTTCATTTCTTTTTTTTTTCTTTTTCTTTTTTTTTTTTCAGTAGCGAAAACCATGTCAGGAAGAACATCATCTTCAAGTCATGTCAGTGTAAGTGTTCCTGAAATTTTCAACATTTTATTTTGAGGCTGAGGTTTTCCTAGGGTGTTCTGATGTATTTTCACAACCAAATTCATTCTTCACTGATCTAACTTTTGCTTTGTTGTAACATGCTTTCTTGGGAAACTGTTTATTGTGGTAGCAGTCAGTTCTAATGTCTACTGTTGTACATCAGTTAATACATTATAGGCTTAGTATTTGATTACACATAAGTAGGGTCTTTTCCAAGTTATTTTAAGACCTAGGCTAACACCTCAAATTCTAGAGTAATTTGAAGTAAGTAGAACAGATGCAAACTGTGTAAAACTTGGTTATCTGCAGAGATGTACTCAGAGGCTTCTTATGCTGGTGTATAAGCTTTCCTAAAATATCCCTATTAGAAATAGTTTCTAGCAGGGGGAGTACTGGTGAGAATAAATGGTGGACATAGGAACTGGTGTCATTGGGTAGGGTCTGGGTGATCTAGTGGTTTAGAAATAAGCTTCCAGCACTGTGTTTATGCGCTTTCTCTGGCCCTTGCTTTTACAGGTGGGAACCTTCAGGAAAGTATTGCTGATTTAGATGAGTCTGCTGAGTGCGTATGCACATATATGTGTAGAGTTAGTCACTTTTTATTTGGGAAAAGCTGAGGCAACTGCGTACCTCATATTTAGCATAGATTCAGACCTCTCTTTGCCTATTGACTTTGTGTTTGTTCTTTATTGTGGGCACTGTAAACTGACATCTTCTTAATGAGTGCAAGCATTGGGAAGATGCTGTGTGGTGAGCTGGAGATGTTTCTGGTTAATGTATCTTGTGCTTTTTATCCCTTTCTGTCAGTTTTCTCTTCTTTTTACTGAGTCTGACTTTATCTGTACTTAATGTTGTCTGTTAAGTCTTTACAGAGGTTATCAGAACATCTCTAATTTTAAATGTATGTTAAAATTTTTGATAACTATGTGTTCTTTGTAATCTCTTAACAGAAGCTGTTAGGCAGCAGGTGGAGGTCTGAAGTAAGAAATCTGCTCCTAGCCATTACAGTGCAGATCAGAAACATACATTCTGACTGATAAACGTGTTTATAGGCCACTTCTAAAAGGAAACCAACCAAACAAATTTGAAACAATCTACTTGTAGAAGTTCCTGAATAACAAAATACCTTGTTTCAATCCTTCTATGTTGATTGAAAAAGGAAGGGAAGTGCTTGTATGAGAAGTTGTTGCCTGTGTGTGATATTTGAATCATTTAGAGTTTGAGGAATCTGTATTTGTTACAGTGTTTGACCAGCAAAGGCAGCCTGAGGTACTGTATAGAAATTTGGGTCTAATTACAAAAAACTTTAATCTTAGTTTCAAAGACGTGTAGAGAAGGACTAAGAGCACTCATGATTCAGACTGAAGGATTGAAATATTATCTCATTATGTGCAGCATGGTTCATTATGGTGTGTCTGAAGGACTACCTGCTGAGCTAATGAATGCAGTTAAGTTGCTAATAATTAAGTTGTTAGTGTCACTGTTCTGGAATCCCTGCTTGTAATTTCATGTTACACTGCAAGGCATCTGGTGGCTTGCAAATCAAGTTTATAGGACGCTTTACAGTGTCCATCAGTAGCTTCAGCTTTTTCCTGCCTGAGCTAGACTCAGTTATCTAAGAGGTGTAAATGTTGCATTCTCTCTCTGATACATCCTCATCTGGTAGTATTTGCAATGTCAGGTTTTGTTTCTCAGCATGCCTGGAGTAATAGCAATGCTTGTATTCTTTCAGTTCATACTATTTTAACTGATTTAATTAACTGATAGGAAATATCATCCTATTCCCTTGTCTTGAACTAGTACAAATTTAGTTTGATTATTTTTGGTTTGATTTTCAATGAACAAACCTTTATTTCCTACATATCTTTTTTTAAGACCCAGTGAATTTCTGTGGATTACTAACTGCTTTCTCTTTCAATAATTACTTTCAAAGTGCTGGCTCCATTTCTGTGGGAGTTGGCAATGAGAATAGCTGGTACCATTTGGAGTACATTAAAGTCTGTTTGATGCTAAATTATCATACCAAAATACTTGTACTCTTATAATATGTA